GATTGGCTGACCAAGAAGTAGGACTGAATGGACTTGTAGGCTCTAAAGTTTTACATTGTTTTGTTTTTGAGTGCAGTTATGTAACAAAAAAAATCTACATTTGTAAATTGCACTTTCATGATAAAGAGATTGCCCTACAGTACTTGTCTGAGGTGAACTGAAAGATACTGTTTCTTTTGTTTATCATTTTTACACTGAAAATATTTGTAATCAAAATAATATAAAGTGAGCACTGTACACTTTGTATTCTGTGTTTTAATTGAAATCAATATATTTGAAAATGTAGGAAAACATCAAAAATATTTAATAAATTTTAATTCGGATTCTATTGTTTAAGTTTGATTAAAAGTGTGATCCTGGGACGCAGTGACCAGGGCCGGCTCCAGGGTTTTTGCCGCCCCAAGCAGTCAAAAAAACCAAAAAAAGCCGCGATCGCAATCTGCGGCGGCAATTCGGCGGGAGATCCTTCGCTCCGAGCCGGAGTGAGGGACCGTCCGCCGAATTGCCGCCGAATAGCTGGACTTGCTGCCCCTCTCCGGAGTGGCCGCCCCAAGCACCTGCTTGCCAAGCTGGTGCTTGGAGCTGGCCCTGGCAGTGACTCAGAAAAACACTTGGGATCACAGTGGAGAGTCAGCTGACCCTGAGCTCCCAGTGCGGTGCTGCGGCCAAAATAGCTAACATGATCCTGGGGTGCAGAAACAGGAATCTCCAATAGGAGTCGAGGGGTTATTTTCACTTGGAAGTTGGTATTGGTGCAACTGCTGCTGGAATCCTGTGCCCAGTTCTGGTGCCCACAATTCAAGAAGGATGTTGGTAAATTGGAGAGGGGTCAGAGAAAAGCCACAAGAATGATTAGATGATGAGAAAACCTGCCTTGTCATGCTAGTCTCAAGGAGCTCGATCTATTTAGCTTAACACAGTCTCTAAGTACCTACCTGGGGAACAAATAGTTAATAATGGGTAGAGAATCCAGCCGAGGAACCGACTAGCCTGACCCAATGGCTGGAAGTTGAAGTTAAACAAATTCAGACTGGGAATAAGCTGCAAATTTTTAACCATTAGAGTAATTAACCATTGGAACAAATTACCAAGGGTCATGGTGGATTCTCCATTGCTGGCAATTTGTAAATCAAGCAGGCCTGTTTTTCTAACAGAGCTGCGCTAGCTCAGCCAGGAATTTACGAGAGCTGGTCTCTGGCCTGGTTCCTACCGGAGGCCAGACAAAATGATCCCATGGACCTTCTGGCCAGACAAGCAATGACTCTACAAATCATATCCCTCACACAATGGCGGTGGCATTTGCCTGTGTCATCTCTTTCCAGAGATAACTTTCCAAGCCACTCCTGCTGCCCGTAGCAGTGACACTGTTACCAACCCAGTGCCAGAGCCCTCTGCTCTCATTGATCAAGGTCTGGGAAATCATCTCAAAGGGTGACTCCTTATGGGCAGGGCTGGGGAAGAGCAGACCCCAAATTCACATCTTTCTGCCAGCTGTTGTTTTTAGTCCCATGCACCCCCTCCCCGTTTTATAGCTAAGTCAGCAGAGAGGGTCTCCGAGGGCCGGAACGGAGGCAGGTCTGTGATGTGGCAACCCGCCTCCATCTCTCCATCGCCGGGCAGCTGCTTTCATCTGCTGGGGGTTGACCTGGGGACCTCCCCAGCTAAACCATCAGCTGCTACAGCTTGAGCAAAAGATCTCGTGTCCCTGTGGACTGACATAGAGGGGCACCCGTCACATACACCCAGCCGATGGTTGTGAAGGCATAAGCCACCCCTGTCTCCCAGAGCCCAGCCTTCTTGGCCACTCCATTGCTGCGCCGGACTAGCAAAGCACCCCGTTGCCCGCTGGGACTTCACCAGCTGGTCCACCACAGGGCCAGCAGTTACTCCTCGGTCGAGCAGCAGGGGCAAAGGATGGGACTTGGCCATGCTGCATCTGGGGCCAGCGCAGGAGGAGACGACCCTGGCTGGGGCCATGGGACTGGAGGACAGAAGCATCCCACCCAGGTCTCCTCCAGCTCCCATGCCGCTCCGCTGAGGCTGGGCCAGTGCCTGAACGCTCTGTGCCCTACGAGGCTGATCTGCTCCACCCGTCAACCCCGATCCCCCGGGACTCACCAGCCTGAGCCCCGGGGGGGGGGGGGGGGG